ATTCCTCAGATATGCAACCTTCTGTTCATTTTTTAGTAGAAATTTTTATGGCTGCTTGAATGTTTAGTATTCTTGTCTAGCCATATCAACACATTCTGCTGAAGTTGAAACCGTTTGTATATGAAATTATAAAATGGTATTAGTGTTCTATTTTTTTTTTTTTTGCTGAATGACTGCATTTAGGAAAGAAATGCTGGTGATTATACAGTTAAAGTTATGGAATTCAAACTTTAAACTTTTTAATAAAATCTGAACAGATGATCTGTGCTTTTTTTTTTTTTTTTTTTTTTTTTTTTGGAACTGGCAGGTTTCAGGCCCTCTAATTGGCTTCCCAGCTTTGCAGAGTAATTACAGCTTCAAGCAAACTTTGTCATCTGTGGTTCAGAATGGTGTAAAGTAAACAGAACGTTTTGAAATACAGTTTGTAGTTAGAGTTGCTCAGGAGAGTTTAACTAGCATAACTACTTAATTTAGACAGTAGCAGTTATTTGAAAAAGATAGTCTAACATTTTAGAATTGTCAGGTTGGTTGTTGATATGAAGACAAAAGTTAACCTCTGTTATGTACCTGGCTTTGTTTTTTTTTTTTTTTAAAGGATATTTTCAGTAACTGAGAAACATCCATTGCTTTTCTTTGTACTGTTTTAATTTCATTTTTTTCCATTTTCTGTATACATCCAAAAATGGCCAGAGGAGTCCTATGCACTTGTTGGAACAGAGTTGTAATTCTCTGTTACTGCTTTTGTATTTTGCTGCTTTGAACAAGTGTTCTCCCCCAAGGTTTTTCCTCCCCTCTAATATTAAAGGAAAAGTTCTCATGATCAGTGTTTCATCCCAGAAAGACAGAAAGCTTTAGGAATAAAATGTGTAATTCCAAGTTGTAGATGGCTAGCATACAAGAACACAAAGTTGAGTCTGTCTGTTTACTGGCTTACTCATCTTTTTGAATGATAATTTAGACTTCCAACTGTTTTGAGTTGAGATTCAGTCCTTTAATTACATATGTTTATGTATAGTAGCAAACTTGAAGACATTATGGTAGAATGTTCTCTACTCTTGGTAATGACCCAACTATCACTCGAGCATTCGGAGCCAGCTCTCAGTAGCCAGTTTCACTCTTTCTTCTGTGCTTTTGTATTTTCCAAACTATTCACTCAGTCTTAAGCTACTATGGTTTTTCCACTAATTAGTAGAAAAATATTTTGGTAATTAGCAGTAACTGTGTATTACAGCACTTATTCATTTTAATAGATTTTTTTCCCCCCTAGTAGTAGGTGAAAGATATTCACAGAGAAGTTTTTTATTCATGTTGCAGTCATGGCAGGAATACTGTTTATCCCATACATTTGTATACAGCAGCACATGAAACATGTGGGGCCACTAAATATCAGCAGACTTCATTTATTTTTATCTACTTGAGAAGAATGGGTAGTGCACCTCTTTAGGGAATACTCTGGTCCTCCACTTCTTTCTGAAATCCTTTTCACTTTGTAAGGGACGGATATGAATGTATTCCATTTTAACCTTCCACGGGGAAATCAAATCTTTAGCCACTTGTAACAGAAATAACCAAACCTAATTAGTTTTGCCAAATTTTGTTTTCCAATGATTTCCTCCAATGGTAGTGAAATGTCATTTTGGGGGGTTATTTGTCTGGCTTTTTTTTTGTTTTCAGTAGCATTTTCAATTCTTAAGGTATTTTTTATTACCTTTCATAGATTCAGTTAATCATCTGTAATGAAAACTCAGAAGAAATGTGGGGGTTTTTTGTTAATAATGTTTTATTATTATTTATAATGTTAATAAATATTTTGTTCTTGTTAATAATGTGCAGAATCACTTAAAGGACAGACTAAAAAAAATTAATAAAACTAGTATATTATATTATATATATAGGTGAAGACCATATTATACATAGCATTTGGATATAAACAGGTATAATTCTATTAGTTCCATTATTTTCATACGTGAGTTGGAAAACTTAAATAATGCAATTTAAATGTATGCATATTTGTATATATTGGCAAAGAGAAAATAAATGGTGGAATTCAAAATCTCCACTTCTGTCAGAGGCATTGGAGAGGATGTACTTTTTGATTGGTACAGATTTTTCTGCAGGTTTGTCTCTGTACCTTTCTTCCTTCAGGCTATCCTTACACTGTCAGCTCACTTTTCTCCCTGGCAGCTTTTTTCACCTTCCTTCCTCTAGCCTAGGTACTCTAGTGTGGCTATACTCTAGCTATCCCCATGCTTTTCTTTCTCATATAGGTTCCAGTCTTTTTTCTGTCCTGTTACCACTTTCCTCCCTTTGTTCTCTAGTCTGATGTTCCTAGCAGCTCTCCTGTAAATAACTTGCTGTATGCCATCTTTCTACATTGGATTTTGCCTCAGTGAGGTTCTTTTTCATAGTGCCTGAGAAAGACGGTAAGGCATTATGAAAATAAGTGAAATTCTTTCAATTTAGCATGTGGAGAGGCAGGAGATAGCTGTAGCCTCTGGATTATACTCAATGCATAGACTTTCAATGCTTTTAGGCTTTAGTAATTGTTACTGTAATTTTTTACCCTCCTCCCACTGCACTCTTATCCCTCCCACATGTAGTGTGGCCAGATGCCTTACATTTTCACAGGAATACTAAAAGGATATCAAAGGTCTTGATTTGCCAAGTTTTAAGTCTCTTCTCCAAAAAGCAGCATTTTCCAGCAGTGTGCAGCTTTAGGCAGACACCCAGTAAAGAAAATTTCAGCCTACATGATTGAAGTGTGATAGGATTAAAGATGAGAGGATGGTTTTGTCAGGAGTACGATGAGATAATCTTAGAGCAGACAATGCTTCTAGTCTCTTCTACTAGGAAGGTAGCCCCACACATTCCTTGGAACTTCAGCTGAGGAAGTTAAAAAAAAAACCCTGTTAACCCTACCTTCACTGTCACCATCATAGATCATAGGTGATCATAGCTGGACTTCAACCATAATCCTGAAGATTGAGATTTCTTTGCTCTCATGAGTAATTGCGCCGAGCTACAACCCTGGTTAAGTACCCCAAGCAACTCTAATTCATTGTGCTTCTGTCTGCCTCTTTTCTCTTCCAGCTTTTGTGTTAAACTCCCTCTTCCTGTGTCCATCCTGCTGTAGATCTTTCTTCTATATGTTGAGGATGGCTCTCATTCCATCCAAGACCTAGCAGAGTGTGTGCAAGCAATGAGGGTGAAATACTGATTCTCTTTTTTAATGAAATGTTTGTTAAATGGTAGGTAATCTCCATTCCTGACCGTGAACAGTCTGACTTACATAATAATTTATAGATGTATGGTGAGTATATAAGTTTGTTCATCAAGGAATACACGTGCACAGGACAATGTACCTGAGTCTGTCAAGTTTCTGAGGTGTTCTGCTAAGCTGCAGAAAAAAATACTATCGATAGACATACCCACGTCCACTCTTTGTTTTTTCAAATAAAAAAATTGCAGTAGATTATAGTTGAGGTTTCTGGATGGTGAATTTGAGAAGAGCCAAAATAATTTATTTCTGTGAAAAGAAAGCATGCCTTGTTAGGTGTTACATGTCATATGACTCTGTAAAGCGTTGACATTAACTGGAATAAAGAATAGTAAGCTACATAAGTAAAAGGTGTGGGTCAACTAGTAGGTGGTAGCTATATCAAAAAGAAGTTAGAGCAGATTGTAGGTGAACAGGAATTCATTTACCATATCATTATTGATTGATTTGTTAACCTGATGAATCATTTTAGATGACTTGCACACATTTGATCTGGATCAGCTTTGAACAAGTGATAATATTCCAGACATGAGCTGTGATGGTTTGTGTCTACGTTGAGGTAGCTACAGGAAAAAAAGTAACACTTTTGACAGAGTAACCTTAGCTCTTCAAAAACGTTTAAATATATTTGCATGAATAAGGAGTTTTAGTTTGTCAGAGTTTTGCAGCTGTGATGTTTGGTGCAGTATCTATCCTACATCGTAGAAGTAATACACAGCAACACCAAACCATTGCCTGAATTGCCAGTGTTGTGGTCTTGCAACAAAGGAGCAATATGTGGTCTGTATTATGTCTGGAATTGTGGAACAGGGAAGATCTCAGATCTGAAAACACAACTGATGAGGGACAGATCGATTGAACTGACTAAAAGAAGACTGAAGAGAGATAAAGCAGTGCTCAAATGTCTGAAAGGGATTTAGACATTTACTGCTGCAAAGATGAAGTAATTTAGTCAAAAGGACAAGAAACGTTATTCTGAAATTACAGGAGCAGTTCCATTAAATCCTAGGAAAAATCTTACAGTGATAAAAATAGTTAATTTCTTTATAGTTGGATAGAATAGTTTGCTTACAGGGGTTTTGAAATTAGTACTTTTTCGGTATTTTAGAAAGAGTGTACAGAAATACTTATGGGAAATACCATAGGTAGACCTGATTCTGCCCTAGGGCACAAAGAGAATTAGATGATTTCCTGGGGCAGCCCCACTGGTGGTGTGTGTGAGGTTGTTCTATATTTAATAATCAAGCTAATTTCAACATCTGAATTTTCTTAGTTAGGCTATTTTACAATAAATCTTACCCTGAAGTGACAGTACTATTTGTAATTGTGACATGGTTACCATTGAAGGGAAAATGTCATATTTCTCCTGCTGGGTGCAGATGGAAAAATATGCCAGTGGCTACTGCTGTTTCCTTGGCATGCTGTAGCAATCCAGGATTTAATATTCTTCTTAGCCTCATAAAACAAATGGAAATGGCACTCTTGATATGGACAATGATACAAGTTTCATCAGTTCTTCTGACGTTTTTCCTCACCTTATGATTATTACCTGCTACTTTTTGTTCAAGCCTGTGGTCGTATTGCTGTTCTGTATTTCCTTGTGTGCTGGATAGATCCTGAATGGGGATACATAAGCTGAATGAATTTCATCGAAGTGATTTTATTTGCTCTTCACCCATTAACTGGCAATGTGTAAAAAAGGCAATGTCATGTATTTGTCTAGAATGTCAGCTGATGAAAACAGAGCGCCCAAAGCCGAACACATTCATTATCAGATGTCTTCAGTGGACCACTGTCATAGAGAGGACGTTCCATGTGGACACTCCAGAGGAAAGGTGAGAGTTTTATTCTTGCTCTCCTTTTCAAATCCTTGTGCAGAAGCCTCAGCAGAGTCTCTGCTGGGCCTGCAGAGCAATCAGCACTTGGAACTGTGGCATTCTGAGCACATGTGAGCAGTTAATTAAAGATTTTCAAGTCAGCTTCTGTAAAATATTATCTGAGCTCATAACTAGTGTAAGAGTTGCTTGCGAGTAGGTGGGATGAGTGTGTTCAAATAAGCCAAAACTATGTCATGGTATGTCTCTGAAGTGTTAAATTTTGAACATCCAAAGCCTGGATTGAAATATTTCCAGCCTTGCTGTCTTACTCCTCTTAATGTTCTCCTCTCTTTTGGCACAGAAAGCAGCATGCTTATTATAATTTATTTTATGTTGGCTTATTAGTTTTTCTTGTTTCGGTAAACATTCACAAACTCTTAAGAATTAACTTTTTTAATGTACCGAAAACTTTTTTAATGCATGTGCAAATTTTCCACACTCTCTCTATGCACTGAATCCTCCCACTGTGGACATCTGTCCTTTTGAGACCAGTATTAGGATCTGGCTATTATTTTTTGTATCAGTAAATAACCAACAACTTTGCTTTTTCTGTTATTTCACATAGAGGTTTTTTTATTCTACCTGGGTACTGTGTCTCCACCCTGTCTTTCTTCTGTGCAGTGTTGTAGGTCATACTGCATTTGGTAATAAATACCACGATAATATCCCATATCCCTTGTTTGCTGAGCAAAAGGCAGCAGGTACCGTGCTGGGTGTGGGGCTGTGACCTGCTCAAGGGCTGCCTGGTGTGTCTGTGCTGCTCTGCTGGCCCTGCTTGTCCCTCCACAGAAACCCTCACCTGGGCCTGCCCCTCAGTGCAGCCACTGGTTTTTAGGATGCTTGTAGGAATTAGGTTACCTTTGTGCACCTCTTTTGAGGGAAATTTGTGAAAAAGCCTGTAAGTTGAGTTTTAAGAGGAGACAGACAAGGAGTTGAACACATGATATGGTTTAATAAATTTTTTTTCTGTGAAAATGTCTTGAAGGGAGGGGGAATACCAAAAAGTCTCTTAAAATAGCAAGTTATTATTATGAAATACTATTGTGTAAGAGAGGACATCCTATGCTCTCAGGTGTATTATACCTGGAACAAGTGTTTTCAAGTTTCCACCAGTAAAATACTTGCAGAATCAGAAACTGCTAATTCTTGGAGTAATCCATATAGTGATTATTTCTGGTCAACTTCAGCCCCTTTATCAAAATGCAGGATTTGGAAGGAAATAGAAGTGATTAATTAATATGAATCTTCTGCTTTTTAACATGGGAATTCAACATTGAAGCAATGTAGCATGTGAAAAGCTTTATGAACTATGTAACGTATTTTATGAATTTCTAATAGAGATGTTGGCTTGTTCATGATAGGGAAGAATGGACAGAAGCAATCCAGGCTGTAGCAGACAGACTTCAGAGGCAAGAAGAGGAGAGGATGAACTGTAGTCCAACATCTCAGATAGACAATATAGGAGAAGAAGAGATGGATGCTTCAACAACCCATCATAAAAGAAAGGTAATGACCTTAAAAAATAAATTTCGTAGAATGATCTGGTTGGGTAAAGCAATATGCAGGGAATAGTATTTAAACATAAATTTCAGTGTATTGGAAGATCAAAGTACTTATTTATTTCAATAAAGCTGAACTGCTCTAGTTTTGTTAATTTGTTAAGCTGACATGGCACTTCTAAAAAACAAAGTTCAACCATTCAGGCACATACTAAAATTCTGCTTATTGTTTGACTCTTATTTCATCTTTTTGTTTGCTTTCTATTTTAGAAGTATGGTAATAAAATATTTTCTTTGGACAAGTACTTTTCCCCCTTTTCTCATGCAAATAATACCCAGTACAAATTAGGTAATTTGCATGAAAAAGGCTAGCAGATTCTGGCTTTTAATGACCTTGGGTTTTGCTAACTTGGGAAATAACTGCTTTAGTTTTCAATGAAGTAAGAAAAACCCATCATTTCCTTTCTATGCAGTCCTTTACAGCTTTAGGTGTAAGTAGGAACATATGTACATTGTTGGCTATAACGTACTTGTGGTTGCATCTCCAGAGTCAACAGATTAAACACACAACCAAGAACATGTTTTAAAGATCTGATGCCACTCAAAGCTTGCTTATGTGTCTCCATTTTGTCCTGTATAGACTACTCAAACTCATGTCTCTCATTTACTGTACAGAGTTGACATGAATCAAGAGATGCACTGAAATTGCATGAAAAATAATAACCAGTTTACATAGAGCTGACTTTATATTTTCTAGGTAGAAGTGAAGCCTGTAGAAAACTAAGTAGAACTCTGCTGACAGAGCAAAACAGTCTTATAGCTCACATAACTGAATGCCTTTGAGTGATGAACAAGAAATGGTGAACATTTCTCTATTTACTAATAGAGCATGTTTTGTTTGTTGTGCTACATGAAGTAAGTCATAGAAAAGTCAGAGCTGAGGACTACACCCTTAAGAATATAACAACGGTGTCATAGGCAACTTTAGTTCTATCATGTCCTAATTTTTGAGAACTTGAATTTGCAGTCTAAACAGAGTTCTTTTATGCAGTTTCATTGTATGCAAATTTCTAACTTTTGCATGTTATAGAAAAAGGTAAAATCAATTATATAGAGCTGTAACAATACTCTGAACATATATTGTCAGGCTGGCATTGCACCTTTAGCCTGGTGGCATGGATATTTAATGACTGTGCTCCAGGGGTAAAATATCATAAATGACAGCAAGACAGAAGCAGTGTTTAAGATGTGTCAGCCTTGTGAGAGTCAGTGTGATTATGTGGAAGGGATTTGGGAAAGGGAAGCTCTGTTAAAGATCTGAGCACTGTTCCAAGCCTGTTTATCCTCTTAGTGGAGTACAAAACCACTGCATAGCAACACTTATTTTCCAGGTGTCAAAATTAATGCTGTCTGATGCAAGTAGTTTATCTTGAATGTGCTCTCCTTGTTCACAATACTGTGTGTTTTCCCATACAACAAAAGGGTTTGTAGGAACAGGAGTAGAAGGGTCAGTTTTGTCTCTGTCTTGCCACTTGTGCTTTAAGAAATGCTGAAATAATATGCTGGGACAGTGTATGGCCAGTGCTACAGAATATTTAATGGTTTTGGCAACAAGACAAAAGCAAAATTTGCAAAACGAAGGTGAAATGAAAAATGTTGATCTTCAACATCTAATAACAGAGCAAAATAACAGAACTAGGAAAAAAATATATAAAAAAGATAATAAAGTAAAAAAAAAAAAAAATTAAAACAATTAAAACTCAGAATCCCACAGCAGATTTGTAACTGTTGGAAGATGTTAGTGAAAGATGCTCAGAAGTTTTTGGAATAAAAAATGTGAAGTGACCATTATGACAGGTAATTGCCACTACCTCCATCTTCATTGAGATTGTGAATAATAGGTCTTTTTAGCTGTTTCTGTTTTGTAGAAATGTCTTTGAAAAGCTATTGTTTAAGATTTCATAGTTGTTAATGTAATCAGAACCATTTCAGTTGTAATGACTTAATGAATTTTTATTGCCTTTTTTTTTTTGGTTTCGGAGTTTTTTTGGGGTTTTTTGGATTTCTTTCCTTTCAGGGATTTTTACACAATGTGTCCTTTTTTGACAAAAGCTTGTTTTGTCACCTGATGTTACATCTAAGCCCAGTGAATTTTGCTTGTGCATGCACCAGATGGTATACATATGAGTAGAAGAGCATAATCAGATTAAGAGACAAGACAGAGAGGAGTTGGGCCTGTTCTTCTCTGAAAAGGTAGTGAAAAGAAAACAGCCTTTAGGATGTGAAACTTGATTTGAATAGATGCGATGGCTACACCCTGCTTAGATTAGCTGGAAGAACCAGAGGCACCTCTTCTTGTTCCCAATTTTAAAAAATGGTATCAGCATGCATTTTGAGTTTTACATATCACTAAAATGTGTAATACTCAAAATTCTTACAAACTACTTTTATTTCTTACCGTACTATTACTTCTTAATAGAGTTTTTCCCTGATGAAATCAGATGAAAACTCCACGTGGTCTAATCATTGTGCACATCAGGAATTAAAAAAAAAAATGTTAGTTTCTTTGGTAGGATTTTTCAGCAGTTATATTAAGGTGTATTTTTTTGAACAGATCATCCATAGGGATGGTGTGTTTAGATGGTCAACAGATATTCCCTTAGGGGAGTAAACAGGTTTTATAGAAGGCTGAACATCATAATGTTTTTTTTGTTAGTGAGGTCTCCTGTGGCTTCATTGCTTTTCTTTGTTTACAAATTTGATTTCCGGGATGCAGGATGAATAAAGAACAGATTTTTCAGAGGAAACCTAAAAGTAATGTAATGAAGAAAAAGATTCAAAACTTGGAGTACAGTAGGAATAAAAACTAGGGAAAATCATGAAAGAGAAAGAATCCAATCTTATGGGAGCCTCCAAAGTTACCATCTTCCCTCAGGTTTAGGAAGTATTTCCATTTTTCCACCAGTTTTCAGTACACCCCTAGCTATGGCATCTGTGTTTTTATCTCTCAAGGCCTTGTGTTCTTTGGCAGACTTTTTGAGTCACCCTGCACTGCATATCATCTTTAAGTGTTCTGCTAAGCTTCTAAGGAATGAGAGCATCAGGAGACTTTATTCTTAGCACTAACACTACCACCATAATGTGCTGTTAAGCCATGGCTCAAAATCTTTCAAACCTATTACCTTTCTCTTATAAATATACATATATTTTTAAATTGTTTTTACTGAGCTTGCATCTAGATTCATGACTGCTTTGCTGAACATTATGTAAGCAAATTTTGGGCAAATCAGTCTTGCAATTCAACTGACTAGCTGGCCTTAGCATCAAATCCACGTCTGCAATCAGCTGAGTGGAGATCCTCCTTCTGTGTATGGGCAAAGGGCAGCTTTTCTGACCTGGTTTTATTCAGACTCTGATGGTCGCTCTCTAATTCCAGTGTCTTAGAGAAAATCAGAAATGTTGGAGATATGACTCCTTTGAGGCTGCTTGTGATGTCATAAATTTGTGACTGTTAAAGGGATAAGTTGTTGCAGTCACTAGCTCAGTATTTTTTATCAGACATTCTTTCATGTCAGGGAACACGATCGCTTATGACTGAAGGATTCTGCCCTGAATTACTCATCTTCTGCCTGAATTGGGTTTTGGGTGCATTTTTAATTTTTCATTGGTTTTAGTCAATATTTACTGCTTTTGCTCAAAGGCAGTTGTTTTCTGCTTGATGGTTGTCACAGAACCATCGAGTAGATAACCTGACTTTCCAAAGTACTGAACTGAAAGTGATCACTGAGAAGTCTTACCTTTAGTTGATTGAATACAAGGAGCCACACAGTGTTGTGATTACAGCTTTGCATGCTACATCCTGCACTGTGAGTTATCACACATTAGAGTAGTTTTTGGAAAAGTTGACTCTTCAAGGATTTGTCAGTACTAATAAACTGTTAACTTTACACTCAGTTGTGTAAAGTGAGTTTGCTTTAGGTAAAAACTATACAGAGCCTTTGAAATCTCTGTTACCCATATTTCTTGCTGGGATAAATGCAGTTTTGTTCCTCCTGTTGTGAGGTGGTTTGGGCAGCAAAGCAAGATCTAGTCCTTCAAAATGAGCATCAAGGTTAGTTTGCTTAGATGCTACCAATCAACAATGAGATGGGAAAAAGATTTAATTCCTATTGATATAGCTAGAAAATTGATATATGGGAAACATCTTCTCCTTAATAAAGCTTTGAAACATCCAGGTATCCAGGTATTAAATGGAATGTTGAAGACCATTTGCAGGTTTGAAGTTGCAGGTTGAACACTTTAAAGATAAGGAATTGTGCATTAATGTGGTGGATGGAACTTCAGTTCTAACTCTTATGTGAGTAGACTGCAAACTGACTCTGAGTGAACAAATGCATGAATTACTTTCAGAGTTTGTCAACAGCAAATTCAGATCTACAGTAATAGTATCATGCACTTGGGCTTAAAGGAATAAATAATTTCAGAAGGTAATTTTACCCTTTATTCTTTTGCACAAGTGAATATATTTTGCTGCCACTTCTTGTGACTGCACACCAGGGATATGCCCAATGCCTCTGCACCTGGAATGTGTGTGAAATATGTATGTAGGCAGTGTTAAGAGGTATTTCTGGTAGAGATAAGGAAAATGCTAATTCTCTTGTGGAAAATACAAGTAGTTTATCCAGAACAGCAACTGCCTGAGGCCACGAGTAGTGATAGAAAGAGACACTTAGAAGATGAAAGATAAGGGATGATCTTTTTCTCTAACAAAACAGGATTAAGTATATTTAACTTAGCAACACTGAGATTCAGAGTATAATTACTCTTTAAAAATGTTTTGAGGTGTGCTTGTTATAAAGGAAGAAAGGTCATTGATACTGAGGGACAGTGCTATAACAAGAATAGGTGAGTGTATTTCCTTTCAGAATTTTTAGTGCTTTTCTCCAGTTGCATAACTTGATGGTTTTGTGGTGCTGCAATCAAGCCAGGAACACAGCACACTGAAAGATGTGCTGTAGAAGCACACAGTGATTGGCCAAATAAATTCTGCTGTCAATTCAAGGCAGCCCTGTGCAGTCACTGTGCTCTCAGTATTGTTCTGTTTTTTCTCTACATCTTCATCTTTGCATATAATGCATAGACCATGGAGTTGATGCTTCTGAACTGGCTGTGAAATGAACTTGTATAACTAAGAGGATTATTGACTCAAACTTTGGGCTTGTACCCAAAGTACTGCTGTACTGCTTTGGGATCTGAGATCATCTGGTAATATTCTTAACATGTGTGGCACGCCAGTTGAGCTGATAAACCTACTAAGACTCTATTTGTCTGTTGATGGAACCAGCTCTTGGATGTACTGTGTTCAACCTGCAAGACTATGGCAGTAACAATCACAGGAAAGATGAAAACTTGCCACCTCCTCCTTTTCAGAGCCAGATTGATTAATGTAAATACCATGTAATTGTAATCTGTACTGAAATTTTAAAAAGTGTAATTCTAATGCAAAGGCTGCTGTGAAGTCTTACAGATACAGTATTTCAGTGAGGATCATGTATGCTTCAAAAAAGCCATCAGTGCAGTGGTTGGTGTTATGCAAAACCTATTGATACACCATGTTTGTGTCCCTGGTAATGCAGGAGTTGATTAACTTTCTGAAATGTGGTGCATTCTTGAAATGCTGCTTTAGGCTAAGGCTTTGTACTGTGTGTGCTTCATAAATATAAACGTGTGTCCAGTACTTGGCTTTAGAGAATTATAATAATACTACTGAACTGTTTATCCTGGTGGTTTAATGACAGCAGTTCTTTGCCTCGGTCAACAGCAGCAAGACCAGTGTTGTCTGGGCACTCAGCCCTTCCCTGAACTGGAAGACAGGGAGGGGAAGCAGAATGATACCCCTATAATCCAAGAGGAAAGGTTCAGTGATTTGATCCACGCTGTAATTTGTCCAGAGAGGGGCAACAGAGCTGGCAAAGTGTGCAGGGCAAAGTTTTATGAGGAGGAGCTGAGGGAGCTGGGGATGTTTAGCCTGGAGAAAGTCTCAGAGGGGACCTTATTGTTGTCTACAACTGCCTGAAGGGAGGGTATAGCCAGAGAAGGGGGATTGGTCTCTTTTCCCGAGTAAGAAGGGATAGAATGAGAGTGGCCTCAAGTTGTTCCAGGGGAGGTTTAGAGTGGATATTAGGAAAAATTTCTCCATTGAAAGAGTTGTCAATCATTGAAACAGGATGTCCAGGAAAATGGCAGTCACCATACCTATTTAGAAGACATGTAGATGTGGCATTTAGGGACTAGTGGCAGACTTGGTAGTGTTGGATTAACAGCAGGACTTGACAATCTTAAAGGTCTTTCACAACATAAACAATTCTATGATTACAAACCTATTTTTGTAAACTGTTCTTATTTTATCAGTAACAGGGTTTGGTTATATGTTGGAACTGGATAACCTAAGTCTTGCTAATCCTTGTTCTTTGCTCCATATAGACAATGAATGATTTTGACTACTTAAAACTACTGGGCAAAGGCACATTTGGCAAAGTTATCCTGGTCCGAGAGAAGGCTAGTGGCAAATACTACGCTATGAAGATTTTGAAAAAAGAAGTAATTATTGCAAAGGTAAGAAAGGCTATATTTTTAATATTGGGTCATTTTAAAGAATGGAATAATCATATTTAATACATAAGGTGTATTGATTTTTTATGATAACTTAGTTTGATAGAAGTTTGTGTGCATCTTCAGAAAACAAGAATGCAAAAAAACTCACGTATAACCATTTTGCATGCCTTTTCCCAATATTTTATGATCTAGAATGTGCTGAAACACTGAGAGGGTTTATTGACCAGGAGGATAATGCAATCTGAGTTGATACAACAAAAAGTACATTGTGGGGCATATTGGATACTTCACTTTTTTTCTGAGTCAATCACAGGTTTATTCAGAGAACACATTTAATGTAATGGGCCTGTGCTCTGTTCCTGCTATATTGTAAAAGAGTGATATGCATGGACTAATGATTCCAGTTTTTCAGTTTCTGAGAAATAAGGAAAGTCTGAAGCTAATATCTGTAGTTATGGTTTAAACTGTCATTGTCCAATCAATTAAACTAGATTAGTGTCACTGGCTCTTGTGCTTGGTTACAATATCACTCAAGCTTAAATAACGATAATCTACTCTGAGCCTTGTTTCTAGCAGTTCTGAAGCATTGAATCCCACTTCCACAGAACAAGTTGAAAGCAAGAAACCCACATGCATATAGAAACATAAGACACAATTAAAAATAATCCCAATTATTAAATGAGGATGTTTTGAGGGATGTGGGTCCGACTGATATTTTTGAATGCAGTATCAGTATCCGTAAAAACTGAATGTGAATGGGTAAATGCTGTTTTACATATATTAAATATTAAAATATCCTTCAGATTTGTATTATTTTCCTATTGACCTATGAAAACGGGCTTACAAGAGTTTTACAGTCTATATTCATTGTCTGTCATTCACTTTCTAATAGCTTTAGAATGTGTAGATGAGTTGCAATTAAATTTGGCAGAGGAGCTCAAAGACAATTATATTTCTTTGAATATCATTAAAACTAGCCCTGCTACAGAGGGAGATACTTAAATTTATGTCTTCAGCAGTGAAGAGACTGACCTATGAGTTCTATGTGCCCTCAGCAGCTGTCTTGTGTGCAGTGGCAGCCTGGTCAGCGTGTGCATGGTTTGGGCTAACAGCAGCAGAGTGCCCTCTGTTCATTGTCAGGAGATCCAGAAGAGCAGAGGGTATTGCTGCTGTACTCCCCTGATTCTGCATGGGAAGGAGCACCTCAGTGGCCCTCCTTGTTAGACCTGGCAGCAATCTCTGTGCTTTGCCCTGTGGGGCTCAGAGCCTGTCTGGTTGCTGTGTGCTGAGCCTCAGGCTCCAGCCTGACATCCTTGACCAGTGTTCTGCTCACCCCTGACATCTGGGCATTCTCAGATGATCTTGTGAGCTCCTTTGCTGCAGCTGCTTGTTTGTATTCTTGCAGCCTTCAGAGCATTTCAGCTTGTTTCTTGGTATTAATAACATACCAAACAGATTTTTAGATTTTAGGGTTTTTCTAATTACTTTGTTGTCTGCTACAATATCACTGACTTTTTAGAATTGATTTAAGCTGATTATTGGGTAACTTTGTCTAAGGTGAGCAAAAAAATCTTGTTCATAGATGTATTAAGGGAGAGAAGTTTTGAAGAAGTTAGAGATGGAACTGTATAAGTTTGAATTTAGCTGTCTAGCCCAGTCAGGCTGTGAGCATTCTATGGGGCTTTTCAATAGCATTTAACTCTAGAGATCAGTGCTATGGATATGGTCACTAGGTAGAATAGATCTGCAGTCCCAATTCAGCTTGTAAGTGATGTAATATACACTCTAGAATCACAAGATGGCTTTGGTTGGAAGGCACCTAAAAGATCATCTTGTTCCAATCCCCCTGCTGTGGGCAGGGACACCTTCCACTACACCAAGTTCCTGAAAGCCCCATCCAACCTGGCCTTGATCACCTCCAGGGATGGGACATGCACAGTTTCTCTGGGCAGCCTGTTCCCAGTGTCTCACCACTCTCTCAGTAAAGAATTTCTTCCTAAAATTTCATTTATATCTCCATTTCCTCTTGTTTGTCCTGTTGCCACCTACCTGTGAAAAAAGTAGCCCTATAGTAGGTTATACCCCTAAGCACAGTATGAAGCAGAAAAGTGGTGCATTGACAGCTGTATAGCATCTGTCCAGTTCAGATTAAATCTGTTTATCCTGTTTACATGACAGATTAATACTACACTTACATGGAAATTACTACCAGTATTACAGACTCATGAAACAATTCCAGAAAAACTGACCATTGCCAGCTTTTTATGCCATATATCTGGTGAACCACAGAGATTTAAAAATAAACAAATAAATGAACCTTTATGCTTGTTTTTCTCCTTAAAGTTATTTTTTTGTTCTTGTTGGTTTTGTTTCTTTTTTTTTTGGGGGGGGTGGTGTTGTTTTTGTTTTTGTGTTTCCCCCTGTATGTCGTTGTAGTGTATATACTTAATGTTGCACTGCTCTTCAACTAAATGGCATCATAATTTACTACCACTGACTCTGTTGTTGTTGTTCAACTTCCTATTTTGACAATTTTTAAAATCTAATTTAAAACTCCTGACATCTGTGTTTACTTTCTAGTTTAATAATACCTTATCTTCAGAGCATAGTCTGATAAGCATGTGTGTAGTACAATAATGTTATATTGGTGTTATGTGTGGCAATAATAACGTGTACTCTGACTAAATGTATTTACTTCTGTAGGATTACAGTTGAAGTTTGAGTCACACCAGGGTAGTCTTTAGTTCTGTGTGACGTGAAGCTCAGCACTCAGAAAATGGTGTCACCCTCCCAGTGGCTCCTGGGTGCTTCAGGCCTGGTCCCTGGCAGCCTGGGCCGGGGGATTCAAAGCCTGCATTACATGCAGAATTGTATAAAATGGCTGTGTATTCATACTGTGAACCCCCTGAGAGCTGTGCCCTTCTCCCTAGCCCTCAGGAGCTGCGGGTGTCGCAGCTCAGGGTCAGCCCTCTGCCCGCCATCGTGGTCCCCTCAGCTCTGCCCTGCCCTGCCCGGCCCGGCCCGGCCCTGCCCTGCCCTGCCCGGCCCTGCCCGGCCCTGCCTGTCTCTGCCCGGCTCTGGTCTCTTCAGCCTGGGGCTGTCAGGGGCCACAGTCACTCCCCTGGCACTCGTTGTCACCCCCAGGCTCCCTCTTTGTCCCCTGCACGCTGCCCACCCCAGGGACCGTGGGAGGGCCTGTGGAGGGAGCCGGGAGCAAACATGGATGGGCTTGCCAGGAAGCAAACATCCACAGCCACTGGCCTAGTTTCCTTCTCTCACTTTGGTACAGAGCTTGTTTTTCTCTTTCCCGTTCAGGCTCGCAGACAGGACAGTGTCACTGACTCTCTCCAAAGGGCCCCTTTTCCAATTTGTGGCTGGAAATGAGTTGGGGGTTGTGTGGACGTCTCCCATTCCCAAGGACAAGGCCAATGTCCTTAGGAATGCTCAGCCTGGTCAGACGAGCAGTGCTCACCACTGGGCTCCTAAGGACAGCTTGGGTGGATAAAAACAAAACCAGCACCAAACCAAGTGAAAATTTAAAAGCAGAAAACTTGACTTTAGTGAACACTTGGCTAAATGAGACTGGGTTTTGTATTTGCCTGTCAGTTACTCTGTGTGTATGTGTCTTGCACATTGGTTTAGTCTCTCTGCAGATACATTGTTCAGGTGATTCATACCAGAACTGTGAAGTTGTGATGACTTATGTTTTTAAGCTATCAAATCCAATATTATAATTTCTTTCTTCTCTGAATTGTATGTAAAGACTTCATTTTAAAGCAAGAAAAAAAGAAAACAAAATACAATATCTTAAATCAGTTTCTTGTTAAATATTTCCTTAAAAAATGTGAAGATTCATTCATTTTTCAAAAACACACTAGCTTTCTCTTTTTGAAAATGTTGACCTTTTCCTTTTAATTAATTTAATAAAAATGGTATATCTTAATTCAGACCTACTTCTTCTCCTCTCTATTTCTCAGGATGAAGTGGCTCATACTCTTACAGAAAGCAGAGTATTGAAAAACACCAGACACCCTTTTTTAACAGTAAGTATTGGGAATTAGTTTTAAGTACATTAGCAGGTAATATTTAACATCCTTTATTTGAACATATTTTACAAATTTTGAATTCTTTCCATTGATGATTTGGAAACAATCAATAGCTATCTGGTGCTTATGATATCCTTTATCAGGATATATAATTAAGAATTCAGAAATAAAGTTTCTAATAAATTTGTAAAGCTTTACTGTACTGAAAATAAATTTAATTGTAGAACTGTGTAATTGTTATGCAATTTTTTGCAGTTTTTTATATAAACACTTCTAAAATAAAAGTTATTAATTTCACAGAGGTGTAAGCATTTTTTACCAAGAAAATTTCAGCAAGAATGCACTAAAACAATAAAAATAACTATTTATTCAAAATAAGTAGCTTAAAGAGCCACAAAACTGAAACCCCATTACCTTTGTCTTCATATGGTTAATATTTAATAGAAGGAAAGACTGAAAAGGTGAAAATTTTGGGACTCATGACAAATTATGATTAATTGATTTAACTTTAAAGTAATTCTGATTCCTCTTGTTTGAGAATATATTAAAAAATACTCCCCCTTATTTCAAAATATAATGAACATGCTTTATGAGACAGGGAATTTTTTTGTATTAAAATTTCAAAGTATAGCATGGAAGCTTTCCTATTTAGAAAAACTTAACAGTTTTGGAAAGCAGAAGATTGCATTTGCATTGGTGGGCCAATATATTCTTGGAAATCCAGTAAAGATGAGAGAGATCCTGCAGTGTTTCTTGAATTAGAGTGTAATGGTAAGCTGGAGTAGGGGTACCTCCCATCAAAAATGCAAAATGGTTCTGCATTTGTATCTTCATATCTTTCTGTTATTCTTCAGCAAGTTTTGTATTGAGACATGCAGTTTAGTCACATGTTGTTCTACTACATTTCATTTTTTTAGGCCAAGTCTTTATATCTGTAGATTTTCTGTGGTATCATTGATAAGTCAACGTTGATAAATCAAAAATTTTAATTAAGATCATAACATCTGTTGCAACTTTAAAATGATATGGAAATTAATATATTAATTTGGCACTTAGCATTCTTAACATTCCATAATATGAAACTAGACAGTTCTTGCTTTGGAAATGAAAGCATGCTGGATATTAAGATGACTTCTAAGATTTCATTTGAAAAAGAATATGATGATCTCTCTCTTCATGGGCACTGTGGAAGTGGACATCATAAAGTAGAGTGAGTGGAAATAGCTGGTAATGTGTATAGCAGTAAGAAATGAAGTATGAAATTGTGTTTTTTGGTAGCCATTTAATACTTTATTGTAATATGCATGATGTTTTCATATCAGTGGGCATGAAGCAGAGATGAAGAAACACTTAAAAGTTTTTGTGTTATTTCATCTCAAGCTCCAGATAAAAAGTAACACTTTTAATTACTCTTTAAAATTCTTACCAAAATCAGAATTTTCTACTTAAAAAGATAAAATTTTGTTACAGTTTAAGTGCAAGCAATTGGGTTAATATAATATAATAATTGGTTTGATTTTGCTGTTTTCTTTGCAAGTCCTTGAAATACTCCTTCCAGACAAAGGATCGTTTGTGTTTTGTGATGGAGTATGTTAACGGTGGAGAGGTAAGTTTAAGAAAGATGTTCTGCACTTGTAACAGTAAGGCTGTCACTGGATTGCACTTTTTAGGTTATATTTTTTCTATGCCTTTTTGCTTTCTAGTATCATTAAAGGGCTTTTATAAAAAACCCTGTTTTATTAAAAAAAACAGTTGACCCGTTTTTATAACTTTTCTATCAAAACTTGTTCCTCTTCTGAAAAAATTAGACTTCTGTATAGCGAGAGATAATGCTAGAAAAATAATTACATATACTTGCTTATTGTTCTTTTTATTTAAGCATATTATAGCATGTTCTGGCATGAAACAGTCATAATCCAGTGTAAACAAGCAAAAATAACGTTGATGAGTGTTACTTTTGTTCTAATATGAAATGTGTGCTCTTTCTGCTATAACTATTACAAATATCTATTGGAAAAGAGTAGAGCATTCATATTTTCTTTGCTTGCCTCCACTTCACTTGCTGTGTACTCTGGAAATTTCAACTAAAGTGCTAAACTTCTTAGAGTGTTGTTAGCTTTGGAGCCATTGCTGTCCTCCAGCTGTTTACTAAAGAATGAAATATCAAAAATGATACCCAGCAAATGGAATTAGAGAACTGCAGTCAAAGAAGAGGGCTTTTATCTACCTTTTAGATGCTGTTTGCTATTCAGACTGTGTCTTGTTACAATATGAACTGGGGGATTTTCCCTGTTTTGTCAACTATAAGCTTCATGGCAATGTTGAAAGACTAAGTGTTTCCACTAGGAATTTTTATTAAAAACCTTTCTTCATTCAAGAATTGCTGTGGCATGATACATGGTGTTTTGCATTATGTTTTAGCTGTCTTCCCCTGCAATAAAAATGTGCTTAGCTATAAACCCAATGCCTGCAGTCCATTGGATCCCAACTTGTCCTTGACCATCCTCTACCAGCCATGCCTAAATGTGGTGCTATAGGGTTCTCATATGGGAGGATGGCTTGTTTAACTCAGTGTATAAACCCAGTTCTGCACATCACAGGTGTTGAACCAGATACAAAAATCTCCCTCAGCAGTAAAGGGATAACAGCCTTTTCTTGGACACTTAGCTGGCTTATTTGACATTGAATTTATATCACCAATATGAAGTCAATGCTGTCTGCAATGAGTTTTAAGTATTGTCTTATAAACTAGTTAATTCTTCATGCTTTTCCTCTGTCTTACTGCATTATAATATCTGGGAGACAGTTTGACAGTATGTTTTTAACATCATCCTGTAATGTAGCTATTTGTCTTTTTGAAAGGTACTTTTCCATCCTGTTTGGATGCAGAGCAGAGCCCACAGAGGACGTTTTCAACTCCTTTCTTATGATTGAGGATGCTCTGACTGTATTTTGGTCAATTGTAGTTTAGTCCATGCATTTCTCTGCATTGGGTGGTGCAACTTCATGGCTATGACTGCAAGTGTTGTGTGTCATGGGTTTGTGGGTGGCAGCCTGCTTTTGCTTTGGGGATTTCAGCAATTCCAGTGTACTCGTGCCAGGATGGGGCTATTTTCTGCCAGGTATGATGCTGCTGTTTGTCAGTGTTGCTCATGTACTTTGCTGATGGTTCTCTAATTCAACAAAGCTAACTCTGAAGTTTTGCCACAGTGGGAAAAAATGGCTTTTTGAGAGTAGGCAGTGTTCTTTGAGGAAACTCTCTTGATTTGCACATGTGCTTCTCTTTGACTAGAGATCTGGAATAGTGAGTTGGACAAATTGTCTTTTATAATAGGAAAATCTTTAATCTTACCAAATTTTCTTGTGAATTTCAGACTTTAGTCAGAGTCTTCCAAAAAATACAGAGGATTTAATATTTGTAAAAATAGTCTTGTTATTAACTCAGAGTTACTGAAAATAAGTTGCTCAAAATTTAGCCAGTATTTTAGCTTATATGATACACAGACCTTTTTCTTTTGCTGCTTCTATCAACTATTCTGTCTGTGTTCCAAGGAAACTACATTTCCCTATGTATTCTGACTGTTGGAGGTGTTGAAAACTCATCTTTCTTTTAGTTTTATCCTTTTAGTGGGGAATTGACCATAGATGTACCATATTGCTTTTGATTTTCTCCATTGCTGTGCTACCTTCAGTGTGTTTTCAGTTTAAAATTCATTCAGATGACATATTTCTTTTTAGGTAAACTGTTGTGTCTGAATCAATTTGTTGGGAATTTTCATAGATTATGTCTTTCAGGAGCACTATTACTCAAACAATTCTCCTCATGAAGGAGTTTTTGAAGGCTGGATACATATTCTTGTCTCCTACCCAGGTGAAAGCAAGAAAATGCCACAATTTAGGCTTCTGCCCTAGTACAGTAATAAAAACTGTGGTCAGTAGTAGGAGTCTTTGCTTCCTCTTTCTATGAGTAGAAAGGAAAACAATCAAGGAAAGGGGCACAGAACTTCATACTGGAGGAGAAGTAGTTGTGTTAAATGACTGTAAGCAAGAATCTTTTGCATCTGTTAAAAATCTAGGTCCATGGTGAAGTTGATATCCCTCCATAACAGTAACAATTTATCTTTGCCCTACCTTGCCTATTTAACTTCAAGTTGGGCTCAGTTAATAAGAAACATGTTACAATGAAAATGTAACTGCATCTGTTTTACTGGTCTGTGTGTGTGCTCTTGTACTGTGCATGAAGCATTACTGTAAAGAGTTCTCCTTTGGATTCCATTAAAATAACCCCAGCATGTTATGTATTTTAATGTACTAAAGCAAACCATTAGAGGATTTTTTTTCCTAAACAGATTATTCAGATGAAAATATTGAATATGTTTTCCTTATACTGAGAATGTTTTTTCTGCTGCCAAACACCCAATCTTGAAATAATTGTTGTGGGCCAAAAGCTTAATTTTGTCTTCATTTGATTTTACTTTTAGACTCTGTGGGTGAAATGTTTACCAATGTCTATTGATCATAAACTATGTTGCAGTGTATAGCTAGAAGGATAAGTCTGCCACTGTAATTACTTCTCAATACCTTTGTTGTACTGAAGGAATTATGTTAAAGTAGCATTAAGAAATTGAAGTTTGGTTTTTAGAAAAAGAATATTCATCTGGCTTAGCTGAGTTGACCAAATGGCTCTTTATTTTTGGGAAATACTTTGGAGTGTATGTTTCCCAGTTTTTATTTCTAGTATTTTGCTTTAAAGGTTAAAAATGTTTTATGTTTAAATCTATGACATACATTACTCTGCAGAGTACACTGATTCAGCTGGCTAATAAGTTGATTAACTTCCTCACTCTGCATTTAAGGATAATTCCAGATTCCGTACTTTGTAACAAACTTAATTGGTAATTATGTGTAGAATAAAATTAGACCCTAAAATTTGTTCAGATGGTTCTCCACGTAAGAATTCTGAATCTCTGTTCCTCATGGCATTTTTGTTTCACAGCTCTTCAATTCAATAAGCAGGAGAGAACTAAATGGCTTGTTGTAATTGAACAAGTACTATTACTGTCTAGGAAAAAAAAAAAAAGACAGAGGATTTACAACCTACTTAATAAAAAATAAGTAAACAAGAGAATGTTCCTTAGCCTTAAATTGTGATAGTCCATGATAAGGGTGCTGTATTTCTTTGGGTATAGAATGTGCCAAGAAGCAATACAAAGTCTGAAACAATAAATAAATAATTTGGAATTTCAAATACTTGCTACTTCAAGTATTTTGCAAAACCAACACTCAAATACAAAATGCAGAGCTGAGCAAACCCAGAACACAGCAGCAAGAGCCAAACATTCAACTTATAACATGCTAAGTAGGTCACTAGTGTGTGTACAACTTTAACATATCAATTGATACAAGGCTGTGTCTTTTATATTTGGCATGCTTGGATCTGCAGCTGAATATATTTCTATGTTTGATCTTCGCTTAAATTTTTCCATTAAATTTTTTTATTAGGAAAAACCCCATGACAGCATTGTTGTTCAGTTTTTAAAGGCATACCAGGAAATTTGTAGCTCCAGTCTTCACTGTAACAATAGCACCCTCGTGTATGCCATCAAAAATGTTATGTGCAAAATGGCTTTCTTTGTGCCAAATCTATTTCTATTGCAATTCCAGTGATTTTATTGCACATATTAAATAACTGTAAATCAATAAATAGTGAAAATGTTGGAAACCATTTCTTAACCTTCCATCACATTTCTTCTTTTCCTTCTTTGACTTAATAAATACAATCTTGTTCAGACAATTGTAAATAGAATACAGTGGCAGAATTATTCTGAAATAGTCAACCAGCTAAATAATTAGCTGAAAATTATGCAGTAATCCCCCTGTAATCTCCCTGCTTTCCCTATTATAATTTTAGAATCTGCTTAATATCTTTAGCATATATCTGAGTGTATGAATGTGCCTTTAATGTGCATTTTTGTATCTAAATGTATGTTCTTCATTCAAAACTAGCAAGTATGGTTTGGTGACAGCTCTGTTAGGTGCTATAATAATGTGAAGAAGAGTGACTGTAGTGTCACATATACATTAAAATAAGCTGACTCAGAAGCTCACAGTTTCTTCAACAAACACAACTGTCGTTAGTTGTTTCTAGCTGGTCATTTTACTTTGAAGTCGGTATTTTTAATTAATATCAATAATCTTGTTGGAAATAAACACTAAAGAAGGTAAATTTTTTCGTACCTTAATTTGTCAGGCTCTCAACTTTCAGATTCAGATTTGGGACACTTTTAAAATGGAAACTAAAACAAAAGTGTTGGTGACAAGCATCCTGAAGTTTTAGAATTTTCTAAGGCTGCTGTTCAGCTACTGGATTAGTCTCTTTCAAACAGAAAATTGCAATAGTCCTTTAGAATAGATATGAAATGTAGGGCTGACTGGAAGTTACAAATTTTCGGAGTGTTGACCTATATTTTTAATTACTTTTACTCTGTCCAAACAACAACAACAAAAAAACAAAACAAACCCCACTCTTAAAAATGAGTAGCACTAGTTCATTATTTATGAAAGAGACCATGAAACAGACATAAAGGCAAAAATTACATAAATTTTGTATTTTGCTTTATGTGAATGAAATTCTTCTTAGTGGTCTTTGCTTTCTATTTAAATACTACAGAAATATGTGGGAAGGACCACACCAACTGGGAAGTGTACTTGTTCTTTTCCCAGTCTGGTAATACATGAGGCATTTCATGAAGTCAGACTTGGTTGCTTAGTGTGGATGGGTCTTGTGATTGCACTGACCACTAGTGAGCCATCAGTACAGAGAGCAAGTCACTACAGAGGGGGCTCATGTCCCACCAGGGACTGGTGCCTGAACAGGTGAGCAACAGGAGCAACAGGCACACCTGCAAAATAAAGATTCCCCCTTGTCATGCAGGTTGGCCATTTTTATACAGGGTGTCTTGAGCACTGGAAAAGTAGTTGAAAGGAGAATCCAGATACAATGAACAAAATTTTAAGTATCTTCTTTAAATCATAGTGCAGTTTCTGTATTCTGTGAAATCTATTCTACCAAAAGGCTCAGTTTACTGAGAATTTTGTTTAGGCTAAGACAAAAGCGATACACCTCTTATTACGAATTACAGCTCTGAGAAAAGAAGTTGGTTTCTAGTTCATAGCAGTGACTTTTTACTTATGCTTTGAAAAGTCACAGAATTATCAAAGTTTGAAGCAACCTTCAATATTGTTTAGTCCAACCATCAACCCAGCACCACCAGAATTGCCCCTAAACCCTATCCTCAAGTGCCATGTCCAGAAGTCCACCCACTGAAAACAACTGCTGTAATTCCTGCACTGTTCTGGGCCATGTGAATAGAGTAGGTTTTCTAAGGCATAAAATAGGATGTGATACAGACAGATTAAGCACATCATTGGCTTCTTTTTATTGGATAGCTTTTGGGGGTTTTTTTAATGTACCTTGCCATTTCAGAATTCTCATCTATTCGATACGTTATGCAGTGGGAAAAAAAAAACAAACCCAAACCTGCGTGCATAGTTGTTGCGGATTTCATTGTCTATGTTTAATTTATAAACAATAACATTTTTAAATTTCTGTTTTGTTGAGTGTTTGCTGCTGGGGTGAAGCCAAAAACATTATAACATGGCCAATTTGGTCTTAAGAAGAATATAGAAATATACTCACTAATCTTGGCTTGAGGAATTACACAAACTTGCTTAAACAGTAATCAAAACTCGCCATTTTAGAAAACATTTGAATTGAATAGCTAAAATGTGCTTTTTTAGATGTTGTTCCAGGTTCTGAGGGTGATGTTTTATCCATTAAGATACTGACAAGCTTACAGAGCTTCATCTTACACTTTTTCACTGCAGCTGAAATTACTGGCAGTACATAATGACTATTATTTTTTGCTGAAAGACTTTAAAGTGCCTGCAAAATGCTGTTACTTAAAAAGTATTAAAGAAGAGACAAAACACCCAAACCAATATTTACATTGTAGCAGAGAAATACACTAAGTACATAGATTTGTTTTTATAAGCCCTAAGCATTGTTGATTTGCTTTTTCTAGTGACTACTACTGCTTAGCAGTATGAATGTGTGGTTTGTAAAATGACAGTTCCCCACTCAGGCCGAGTCTATTGAAGAACTAGATCTTTTTCAGTTCAAAGAAAAGTGGCTAAAGGACTGACAAACATGAGGCAGAACCAAAATCTATATATTTTAGTGATATTTCTCAGTGGCTTAAAGCTAAAATCTGAGGAGGTAGCAGAGGGAGGAGTACAGAATGATGCTGTTGTGTACTTCTTTTTTTTTTTTCCTCTGGTAACTGAAGGTTAAATGAGTAGCAAGCAGAATGCCTTAAACAAGATTGGTATATTGATTAAAACGCTGATTTAACAGCTCGCTTTCTCCCTTTGGAAACCTGGAAAAGATAAGCCAGCTGCTGTCTAAGAGTGCTGAGTGTCCACTGAGAGTACACTATCTATCATCACAATATGGTGATGAGAGGTGTTTTATGTTTGTGTTAATTTCCCCCACTAAATCAGTAATTATTACAATCCTGTCCCTGCTGTTTACCCTGCAGCTGTTTTTCCATTTGTCGAGAGAGCGGGTGTTCTCAGAGGACCGCACACGCTTCTATGGTGCAGAAATTGTCTCTGCCCTGGACTATCTGCATTCTGGGAAGATTGTGTACCGTGATCTCAAGGTAAAAAAAGAAAGAAAAAAAGTAATCAAATTTTTGTTTTTGCTGAGACTATGGGGACAAACACAAAGTAATTATAAAGTTGCACTATTCAGAGTTAATGGGAAAAAAAATCTGTGTTCAGTTTTAAGTTCTGTGTGTGCTGGAGGAAGTTGATATAGTAGTCTCTAGATGGGTACGTTCCCTGACTTTAACTTGATTATGAAATGAAACAGGATACTGTAGTAGCAACACTTGAAGGAGATTGAAACTTCTGATCCTCATGCTCCCTACCCCCTGCCCTGTTACTCAGAACTTAACTTAGATCTCAGCACAAATCTCAAATACAATTCTCTACGTCCCCAAACAAGGGAAGTGGTGAATTGGAGCACTGTCACTGCATTCTTTTTATCTCAGCAAAGAGGTGTTTCTGTATGCATTGGAAACATTTAAAAGAATTCAGAATACTTCAACAGAAAAAGAATTTATCTCAGGATTTATTTCAAAATTATTTTGTCTTTTGTATCTCGGGAAAGATTCCTCTTATTGGAATGTAGTTTGTTTTAGATTTGCCAGTGTATACACTTTCCTGGTAGTCTGTTGCTCCAGGTGCTCTGTGACACACTATGACCATGTTCTACAGAAAAATAACCTCTGTTTTCAACAGGAACGTTTTCTAACTTGTGTAGGAGGAACATCTAAAGTCCGTGATGAGACAATTTTATTTCTGTGTCAAGCCTTTAATTTCATGTACAGGAAATTGTGCTTTCCTGTTGTACGTGCACAGTAGTGGAATTCATTCATGCAATTCTTTGTACAGGAACCGAGGAGAAGGAGGCAATGGTAGGCAAGTTCTGCTCAGGGAGGCAAACAGAAAACAAAATACTGAACTACCTGTTTGTAGCAGAATCTGTTGTACTAATGTGAAATGTTGTGAAAATATAGAATTGTCTGGTCAAGGAATGATAGATGATAGTTTTTTATTTAATTTCTAAATAATAAGGAAAGAGGAATTTACATAATTAATCTTCTATTTCTCGTTTTGTCTACTTTGCATTTTCTTTGTAGCATACCTAGGCTCAGCAGGAAATCTCTACCTTTGATTGTATTTCAGGCTTTATGCAGACTTAGAATGACAGGGCTATGGTTGTTCTATGTTTGTATTTTCACTACATAACTTGTTATTTGTAGAAAACCAAACAGTTTTCTGTTGAAAGTTGTTAAGAATGTTTTCCTTAGTTTCAGTTCTATCTGTATTTTAAGTACAGCTAATTAAAACCTTTTGGGAAAGTGTTATTAGCCATTATTCTGAATGTTTTCACATTTTGAAGCAAGGATCATATATTTAAAAAGCAATGCAAAGCATGCAAAGGTATATATTCACAATTTAAGAAGTGTCCTTTGCAAGTAGACAAGGAGGAATTTACCTCAGGGGTTTTTTTATCAGTAGCTACCCTATCCCCAGTCTGCAAAAAACTGAAAAAAAATTGAAAAGGTTCTGGAAGTTGGAGGTATTTTAAGGATTTATGGATACAGGCTGTTTCATGACAGTATAGAAGGTAAAAGGTATCTTGATCAGTGGCTGTCATGTTAGAGCAAAGGAAACCTCTGAAGTCATTGACCTGAGATTTACTATTGTAAACTGTATTAAAGTATTAACTAATTATGTAACTTGTGTGGCAGTCAACACTATTAAATGCTGTAATATAGTAGATGCTGTATTTTTTTTCAATTACAAATGAGTTACATTCAGTTGCAAGGAATAACTCCTTTTTTACAAAATTGATGTTATACATCAATCGGTCCTGTTAAGAAATACTAAGGGAATATTTTTCTCCCCAACACACAGTTAGAAAATCTAATGTTGGATAAAGATGGACACATAAAAATTACAGATTTTGGACTTTGCAAAGAAGGAATCACAGACGCAGCAACTATGAAAACATTCTGTGGTACTCCCGAATACCTGGCACCAGAGGTATGATTTAGAATATTTTCTTATAATACTGTATAAAATGCTTCTTTTCCATTTAATTTTAGACTGACAGTCTGCCTGATTAATAATCTATAGCTGTTATTCAGAATGGAATGTGCTGCTATTCTTTGTGGTGATTGTATATAAATTGATGCTCTGCTTCTTAGTGTTTAAAAAGGCTTCTACCATGCGTTTTCCTTCTCATGTTTGCCTTCCTCTGTTAAAGTTTTTATCTTCCGATGATTTCTTCAAAAATAATCTTCCATCTGTCTGTCACTTGGAACATATGATCCTGCTTAACTGAGCTGTGTAACTAGCATTTATATAGCCTCAGTGGAGGCGAGGGGGAATAGGAGGGTACTGAGTTTGATGGGTTTTATCCGAATTCCCTGGCTGCAGGGAGAGGGAGTTGGAATTTTAGATATTTCTGGTAAAAGCAATTGAGTGTATAGACCTCAGAACTGGTTGAGGTGGGCACCAAAACTGGCTGTTTCCTACTATGTAAGCAGAAGTGGCATCCCAGAGTATGCCACCTCATCTTTCCCATTAGCTGGCACTCAAGCACCACACTCCTCAAGGATTGAAAAGAAGATGGACATCAAGACATTGCTTTGGTTCCCTTTGTGTTTTTGCTCTGCCTGGCTTCAGTCAACAGTACTGGTTGTGGTGCTCAGAAATGTCACTCTCCCTCTCCTCAGGGGCTGCCAAAAACAACTCCAGTACTGATATGAAAGCCTAATTTTTTACTTAATGCTAAGAATTCTGTGGATGCTGAATTAGCCCTTATTTCCACACTTGTCAGCATTCAAGATTTCTAATTGACACAGTACACACCTCATACTGACATAACTTTCTAGTCAACCTAAAGGGCTTTAAAAGGCCCTTCAGTCCTACCATTTCTTCCTACCATGAAGAAAGTTTTAAAGAGTTTTCAGAGGGATTTCCCACCTCTTGCAGCCACTCTGCACTACAGTAACATCTTGCTACTATGTATTGTCTTTGAAGAACAACTTAGTTTGAAGGGAGGAGGCATTGATTAGACATAGGTCTTTATTCTCTTATTTTCAGCAGCACTGAATCCTGAGTAGCAGCCACAAGATCTGGAGCCTGTTTCAACAAGCAATTTTGGTTGCATTTTGGTTTTTATTCTAAACCTTGAAATTAAGGAATGTCAAAGAAAAAAGTACACATCACCTTCTGGATAGTGCTGGCTGGAAATAAAAATTTTTGGGATGGCTAGGGTATACGGGTTTGAGAGCCTTTCTAAATCTTAAATTTCAAGTCCCTGTTTGCAATCACAGAGGAAATTGAAACTGCTAATAGTTGGCTGTAAGTCAATATGGTAGGTAGAGTTACTGAACCCATTTTGGATGGTAGCAAGGTCTTTGGATACAGTCTTTTTTCAACAGTAAAGGAAACATCAGTATTTTTAGAAGCTGCTAACTTTCTCTTCCTCCCTCTAGTACTATCTTCCTTGACTCTTTCAAAAACATGTTAGCTCTCTTTCATCAAACTTCATTTTAGACACTCAGCACAAGTTACTTGATCCAGTTTGCTTTTCTATTCTCTAGAAGCCCCACTTTTCTGCTCTACCTCCCATTATGAGTGTTTTTGGAGACCCGCCCTGTAAAAATCTGTCTTGAAGGAAATTGATTCTTCATTAACCTTGGGAACAAGGGAACTTATTCCCTTTTCCCTCAGAGATAAAGGGTTTTGAGCAAGCCACCTAGACAGGCTACTGATATGGTATGAGAAGACTCAACACCTTTACCTGGATAGAGACAATTGTATCTGTTTTTGGCAGGGCAGCTGATTGATAAAGGGACCATCAAGAGCCTGGGTCCTCCAGTCTATTTGTGGACATGTTTCAGAGAACAAATGCTCAAGAATCACTTCTCTTTGCAGTTCAGGCCACAGAAATCATTTTCAGGTGCCAAAGATTTACTACCTTGTGACAAACCTCAGAGTATGAGAACCTAATGTTACAACTGGACTTTAATCCTGTTACCACACTGAATTCCTGCCTGTCTATCCTAAGACAAATGGCAACATTATTTATGTTTTGTCTGGTCATAGTAAGTTTAAAGGCAGATACCTTTTAGCCTTTCTTTAGAAGGAAGATATTAATTCTCCAATTACCAGGAGAAATCAATTCATTATCTGTCCTTTTAATAATGTCCTTGCACTGTGTCAGCTGTGTTGGATGCATCCCTTCTGCAGGTTTTTTAGTTCAGTTTCCCATGTGCTTTCTGGCTGGTGGTAGAGAAGACTAGAACAGTGTATTGTGTAACACACAGGGGCAGCCTGAGACTGGTGCCTACCACTCCAGGGGGCTGCTGACTAGGAACACTGCACTGGTGGGAATCTATACCCAGCCTGAAAACTGACTTAATATTTTCTTTTGTAGTGATTGTGGTTTCAGTTCCAAACTTGGTTTTCCCAATGCTTTTTGCACCACTGTTTGAGGCATAGAGTCCTGCTTACTATTCCATCTTTTTACAAAAACTAGGTTTTAGTTGCTTCCAACAGTAAAAAAGGGAGCTAGTTAAGACAGATGGAGGTGTATTTCCTCTTTGCACGACAGTCTCTGAGGTGAAGGTATCGGTACAGAATTATTACCCAAGGCAATTTCAGAATTACTCTTGATCTGTAAATTAGCCTACCTGTTGCTGCATTTTCCTCATAGACATTATGTTTCTGAGATCAAAATAGTCCTTCTGACCCTCTGTTGAAAGGACTCTTTCATCTCATATTGATAGGGCCTCACCTCTTGTATAGGACCTGATACTGATTGTGTAGATAATTAGGAGATCCAGAAAAATGCCCCTGTCCATGCAGAGATCAAATGGATGATGTGCCACAGAAAAAAAAATTATAATGAACTTGCTATGTTAGAGTCAATTTTCATCTGTGGAGGTAAAATTCTGCACCATCACTGATTTATCATTTGTGGAACCCATATGGAAGTTAATGTGTAACTTCACCACACACAGAGCTGTTCAGGGTGTGCAGGGCTTCTTGCTAAGTGGTCCATAAGTTCATTCCCTTTCTATTCTCCTCTCTTAACCTTTCCCTGTTATCCAACACCAGTTTTCTATGGTCTAGGGAAAATTAAAATAGCATTGACTGTGTTTGTCTTGCATCACTATGTGCCGAGCATAAAATATAGTCGGGTATAAACACATCCTCTAGGAAGAAAATAGTTGCCACTGCCAAATAGCAGGGTTTATATTTGTTAACAGTACAGATGTACATTTGTCACACTTAGTGAAGAATGAGCAAGTAACTTTTTTTGGTGAAATTATATAGTTTTTTGAGAATAATTTGGTTGTATAATAGTGAAATTACCCTTATCATCTGCAGTAGAACTAACACAAGCCTAATTTTTTTGTGTGTGTTTAAGTGTAGTGGTAATAGTTAATAATTCCCTCTGCTGTAAGAATCTGTGGTGTTCCCCCTTTAAAAGGTATAAAATATGTTACAATTTCTCACTTAGTAGTTTTTCAGGACAAAGAGACTATTTCTTAAAAGTCTGTTTCCGTTGTTGTTCTTCAAAGTAAGTTGTCACATTAGGGATCGTTGTGGTGTCAGAAAATATTCATAGTCCAATGACAAAAAGATGAATTGTGATGTAGGTAACACAGATGTATGCTTGATTTTTTTTCCAAAAAATGCATCTTTTGCACTTTAGAAGTGGAAAAGGCAGGACAGGACCACATGCCTTTTACAGGAAGTATCACTTGCTTAAAAAAGAAAGAGTAAAACTGAGAAAGTTCTTGTCAATACACCTGTGAGTCCTTTAAAAGCAGTTTGGATTTTGATAGTTTTCAGTTGACTGTCAAGGACAAGACCTGCTAATAAAGATACAGACTGGTACAGACTTCCTTCATAGAACATTCAGGAAATGAAGTTACTTGGGCAGAGAAGTAAAATTTCTTTCTGGTCTGATAATTTATAAGGATGTTTTCTTGGACGAAATAACAGTTTCTGGATCTCTGTATTTCAGTTCAAGTTCCTAGGACTAAGTGCACAGTCTTTGTTATAGGAGAGCAGTCAAATGTGGCACTAAGTTTTGGTGTCATGGGAAAGACAAGTTTTAAATACCAGAAATTACTTTTGAAGTTTTAAGTCTTTCTAATAACAGGAGAGAAGTTGTTTTGACTCTGAACAAGTCTGTAAGAGACTTCATGGATTTCATTCAAATGACTCTTAAAAGATGATCAATGATGTATAGGTCTATTCTAATAACGGGGAAAATAGGATATTGTTATGTTTTATTGGCATAAAAATACAGATTAGCTGGATGAATATGTATAAAAATGGTTCATATGTACAGATTAGATGGATGCATTCCTGTAACAGTTGCACTTTATTTGAAAAGCAAACTATTTCAATGTAGTTTATTCAGTTACAGTCATTCAAAGGTATGTGACAATGAACAAGGAAGGAGCAGATTCATATCCTTTACCCCTAAACAAGAGAAGATGTGCATGTCCTGTAATTCACTTTAAAATAAGACCAGCGAGGATTAAGAAAATATTAAAATCAATTATACAATGCTTATTTGGACAGTATTTTTTTTCAGTGATCATCCTTTTAAAAATGGAATAAGAGAGATCGTGTGTAATCGTTTCCCTGAGTTTTATCTCAGAGGAGTGAAGGATAGAACTCTTTTATCAAGAGGCAGCTGTTGTCTCTCCTCACACTTCATGTAATTTCTTACTTACAGTTGTTTCTCTTGGGAGGGATATGGCTTTGATATAATCTAGAACCTGGCCATCAAAGTTCAGTGACTGAATTTCAGCAAGGGAAAGCAGGCATGCTTATAACAAGAAAACCCACACTTTTTTCATGTTTTCAGAAATTGAAGTGAATTTTCTGAGAGTATTGCAGTTCATACAGATTATAAGAAGCTGACAATAGTGTCAGAAAAAGCATTTTGTCATTTGTGCAGCTATACTTTTATTTTATTCTTTTAACACCTGCTTGGATTAGATCAGGAT